AGCTAGCATTTATATAGAGCTTCAAGGTTTGCAAAGAGCTTTACAAAGGTCAGCACCTTGAATTCCACTTTCCCTATTCAAATTAATTCACAGTGTAAATTCTAATAATTTTTAAGTTCCAGTATAGCATACAATGCCTTAAGGCAGTTTGTAAAACTAAAATGACCAATAAGTGTAGTAACCTCCAAATTAAAAGAAAGTAGCTTTTCTTGGCCACTGCATAAAATAGTAACTTTTCCCCTTAAAATGTTACTGTACACAAAGCTTCCCTATTTTATGTTATACTATATCCCTACAATATTACTGAGATGTCTGCCCTAAACAAATCCCCAAATACCTAATCTTATACCTATTCAGAATGAGAAGTCAATATATTTCTGTAAAAACAGAATTTCAAATTTCTCAGAAGTTTCTTTTTTATCAATTTCTGTTAGTAACTTTTTTTCTTTCTGTGAACTATATGTATTATATTAAAAATTAAGATTATATTCTTTGATCTTCACGAAATTCTCTAGCAACTACTAATTAAATAGTAGTTTTGGTAACCTCCAATTTCAATACTCCAAGAATCAGATCCAAATTTCTCCTAAGTCAAAACTAAATTCTTAAGACTATATATGTTCATTAGACAAACTGTATGTAGCACTGTTTTCTTTAAAAATGTAATTATCTCTAGAACAAAAAATCTGGATCTGCTGTAGTTCAGGTTAGCATCATCAAAAAACCAAAATGGCAAGAAAAAAACAAATGCTAAATATATATTTTACTTTACCTAGCTGATGATGTTTATAGTTGCCATAATTAGGATGAAGAAAATTGATGGCATCTTCTCCATTTATAGTCTTTCCTACAGAAAGCCGACTAAGACGTCTCATCTTCAGTAACAGTGGGGAGTTTTCCTGAAAATTATCACCTGTATCCAAAACCACATCTCCAGGAAGGGCAGTAGGCACACCCTTTTTAAAAAAATCCATCTTAGGATTCCTCTACATAATTAATATCAACTATTAATACTGTTAAGCATTGAAAAACTGACAACTGACACAAAATTCCTTACTGACAAATTAAAGTGGACTGTTTGCATTAGTGGAGCAAAGAAAGTCATGTAAACTTAGGCAGCAATAGTTCCAAGAGATCAAGAAGCCAGCTGTCTTGAAGCTGATTTTTCAAGACATTTGCTGCACAAAACTGATAACAAAATCAAACAGGAAAAGGACCCAAATTTAAACATATATGTACAATGGATATTAACAAGAATGCAAAGACTATGATATTTTTAGCATAATTACAATTTAAACTTAGCCACTGATAAACTAGATTTTTGTGAAATGCTTAAGAAAGGAAAGTTTACTTTGATCTGAGCAATCAATCCTTTAGTATACAGCTAGAAAGACTAACAGTAACTTAGTCAAAAGATAATGCTTATCATTTAAAAAGTTCACCAACAGACCTCAGAAACACTCCTACATGACACATACAAGAATAATCAAAAGCTGCATACTATATTACACTTAACAGAAAAACCACTTAATATGTTAACTGATGATTATTAATGGTAATTGTGAAAGCCTCAGCATGGATAACTTAAAATGAGAATAAATAAACAAGGATATGAAAATCAGGAGCAAAGTTATAGCATTAAGGAACTTAAAATGTTCAAATTACAAACTTTGCAAACACAGAAAATAGCTATTTTTAAAGCAACTGAGCACTATATGAACTACATAACATAAACAAAAAGCAACTTATTTCATTCCTCTAAAATAATCTAGTAAAATGTTGCAACAGTTCTGAGTATATAAAATAGTATGACTCTGAAATTAAAATCTAAAATTGATTAATTTCTTCCTTCATTCCTCTTCGCCTGCCCTCTAGTGGAAGTGCTAATGAACAAAAAAGAAACAAAGGCTATAAGAAGCACAAACTGGATTTCGCTATTTAATCAAGAAGCTAAGTGTTCTTAACATACTGAAATTTTTTAAACTGATACTCAATATCTGATTTTCACTAATGAAATATGAATAAGCACATGTTGTGAGTGGAATGACAAAAATAACTACAAAATGCTGAATATATAATAAAATATATTAAATAGTTATTAAAGCAAAAAATTTGTAAGTCAAAGGAAATGGAAAGTTAATGAAAGTTAAGATAACCCCAGATAACTAGGGTTCCCCACCACCACAACCACTAATGAAAAAAAATTTTATTACTAGTTTTCTAACTTTCAACTCCATTAAATCCATTCATTAAACAAATATTTTTTGAGCTCCTATTAAATGCAAAGTACAGATAAAGGTGGTTTGGCAAGCACATAGAGAAAAAGATTATTGAGTCCCTAAAGCAGATATGTTCTTCCCAATCGAGGCATACTAAGAACGAATCATTCAACCTATGGTGATTAAAATTCTATACTGTATTGCTCTCTAATTTCAGATTTTTTTCTTCCCAAATACACTGGCAACTATTTGAAGGTAAGGCCCATCTCATATTTTTCCTGGATCACCACAGCATCCAAGTCAAGGTGGAACACAGAATAATTAATATAGTTTTCATTATTAGCAAAAGGAATAAATACCCACGATGTGTAAGGTACTGTGCCTCTCACTATGTTTCCTCTCTTTCCTATAAGTACTTAGACCTAGAAACAAAAGGCTAGTGCTAAGAGAGGTCTACATTCATTTAGTCCAAATTTATTTCACTACAGGTGAGGAGAGGGTAACCAAAATATCAAAGGCTGTGGGACAGATCAAGGAAAGTGAGGCCACAGAAAAGTCTAGTTTTGTATTTTTCCAGAATCATTTCTTAATTTTTTTTCTAAAGCCTTTTTAGTTTTCTCCAATAACTTCTCAAAACAAGCCAGAGGGCCTGTATTGACCTGGGCTTAGGTGGGCAGCTAGGTGGCACAGTGGACCGAGCAATGGGCCTGAAATCAGGAAGATCTGAGTTCATATCTATCCTCAAACACCTACTAGCTGTGTTTAACCCTGTTTGCCTCAGTTTCCTCATCTATAAAATGAGCTGGAGAAGGAAACTGCAAAGCACTCCAATATTTCTACCAAGAAAAGACTTCATGGGGTTACAAAGAGTCAGACACAACTGAATAACAAATTCCTTAGGTACTTCAGGAAGGCAAAAGTCATGGACATCTGAGTTGAATGCATCTAGTTATCTGAATAATATTTTTGGTTCCTTCCCTACTTTCAATTTTTGGTTTCCCCATATTACCTAATCAGTTCATAGTCACACTCTCCCCAATTTTTTTGAGGGGAGGGAAGCATTAGGAAAGAAATAAAGTAACTGGTGAGAAAAAATCAATTTAAGTGAGCATGTTTATATTTGTTCAATATCTTTATTTCTCATGGGACATTTTCCTTTATTTGTCTTATTATTACATTTTTTTTTCTACCAGAGAACTGGTTAAATGAGCAACCTTACAGCCATAAAAGCTAAAATGTGCTAACCTACCAAACAAAAACTTTAAAAAAAAAAATAGTTAAGTGTCATATTATCCCTCTAGTATGTTTCCTTCTTTAATTCAGGAATTAAATGGGATACTTCCACTTTCTTGGCTATAGAAATAATTGTTATAGAAGTGACTAACTAGCTAGGTACCAAGCATAGCAAGAAAAACAGATCTGGCTCTCTCTACCACTAACAAAAATCATATTTCCAGTATAGACCAACAGAAAAAAAATGGATAGTATGTAAACACCTTTTCCTGGGGACTTCTTGGTCACATGTCTAACAAGATGAAGCTCTGTTCTTCTCTAACCCTCACAACCTTTCAAACCCCTCCAACATAGGTACTCACTCACAAGAGATGAAGTAATTTCAGCTGTCTCCAGGACATCAAAAATCCAAACAAGGTAAAAACTAAATGAAGTAACATCATATTCCTTAGCCCTTAACTGGCTCATGGAGCTCCACCACCACCACCACCGTGGCAGCAGGGCTGCACAAGACTACAGGCTTGCAACAGAACTTACACCAGCCTCTTTCCCTCCAGCCTCTTATGCCTCTAACATCCAAAACACAGAAAACTGCTTAGGCTGTGATAGCAGCAGCAGCAGCAGCAGCAATGAACATTAGTGCTCTGTGCCATAACAGACAGAGCCAAGAGAACCATTTCTATCCTGTGCACATGATGATTCTAAAATGCTATAGGTTCAATCAATTATATTCAAGACAATTCCAAAGGATGCATGATGAAAAATCCACCTCTGATGAATCCTGAATGCAGACTAATGCATACTATTTTTTACTTTCTTTACATTTCTTTCTTTTTATTGGGGTTTGGTTTTTTCTTGTTTGTTTATTTTTTTGGTAACATGGCTAATAGGGAAATATGTTTGCATGACTTCACATCAATGACTGGTATCATACTGCTTACCTTCTCAATGGGTAAAAGAAGGGTTGGGGAGAGAGAGAGAATTTGGAACTACAAATCTTTTTTGAATGTTAAAAATAAGTAAATAAAAATATTTTATCCAAAAAAAAGTCAATCAGAGCATATCACCGAACTTGATGTCAGAAGACCTGTGATTAAGTCCTGCCTTTAACATTTATTAGCTATGACCACAGGTCATTCATTTAACCCATCTGAGATTCAGTTCTTTCATCTGGAAAATAGGGAAAATTACACTTACACTACTCAAAGCGTTGTTATAAGGAAAGTACTTTGAAAAGTGTTATATAAATGTTAGCCATTATATATATAAATATTATAATTATTATTCTTTGATAATAATATAAAAACCATCTAGATCGTAAGCTCGTCTGAGGACAGGGTTGTTGTTTTTTTGCCTTTCTTTGTATCTATCCCCAGTGTTAGGTCAATGCCTTGCACAAAATAAGCACTTAATAAACGCTTGCTTAATACTTAGTAGATCTAATTCAAACAAGTAACCAAAAACAAGCAACTGAAATATAACCTTTTTAAAAGTTTTCATACTCCATAATCATATGTGGTGCCTTTAGAGTTTTTATAACAGGCTTACCGTACCACCCAACAAAATGATCTCTTGATGATAACTTGGTTCATCTACCTTGACTGCATCAATCTTGGGCAGATTAGTTGAGCAAACAATAATCCAAGACTCAAATAAATGGCTTTATTTCTAAAATATAAAAAGAAGGATACCACTTATAAATAATATCATGAAAACAATCTATACAGTGACAACAATAATGTACCTGTAAACAACAACAACAACTGAACAAACAGCTAAATAACAGAATGACAAAGCGTGGCCCAAGGAGAGATAATTCTCCTTTCTTGAGGGGATGGGAAGAAAGAGAAGGGAAGAGTCAGGGCAGTATGGGTATGAAATACAGCATGCTTTCAGATTATAGTGATGTTAGATAATTTTACCGAGTGACTTTTTCTTTTTTATTACAAAGGATGGCTACCTTGGCAAAGGATAAGGAAGAAATATATTTGGAAATGCAGGAGATTTTAAAACAAAAGATATTAATAAAAATATTTAAGAAAAAAAAGTCCATAACCTTTAACCTAGAGATTCTGCCTATATCCCAATGAAGTCAAAGAAATATAGAAAGCTCCTAGATAAAAAGATTGCAAATTATTCAGAGCAGTGCTTCTGTGGCAGCAAAAGAATTATAAAGTATATGCCCACTGACTGAAAAATGGTTAAACAAGTTCATTGTGATACGTGAATGTAATGGCATATTACTCTAAGAAATAATCAAAATGAATTCATAAAAGCATGGGAAGACTTAAATGAATGGATGCCAAATGAAGGAGACTGAACCAAGAAAATGAAATACACAATAATTATTATAACATAGTGAAAAGACAAAACAAAGGAAATTGATGCTAAGTAATTTTAAAGATCTAAACCTAGATTGGAGATGAGGTAATAAAGCACACATTCATTTATTCTTTGAAGAGGTGAGAGAGAATGGGTATGTAATGTAACATATTGTCAGATTCAGCTGATGGGTTAGTTTCACCCAATGATTTTTTTTCCTTTCACTTTTTTATTCTTGGTTACAACAGAAGGATTACTAGGTAGAAGAGGAAGAGATAAATTTATAAATGAAGACTATATGAAAAGAGAATTAAAAATGTTTTAAAAAAATTAAAAATGAGAAATAAACAAAAATCAACAAACTCCAAAATAACTTTCTTAAAAAGAGTTAAGTCTAGTAACAAAACGAAAAGGAAACAATAGAAAAGAAAAATCGTAATTTAAACAACTACAAGAAAGACTGAAATACCTAGGAGTTGATTTCCTAAGATATATTCAATCCTTATATGAATACACTTATAAAACATTCTTTAAAGAAATAAAGAAAAAGGAAGTAGAGCCAAGATGGCAGAGTAAGGCAGGAACTTGCCTGAGCTCTCTCCCAAATCCCTTCAAATACCTTTAAAAAATGACTCTAAACAATTCTAGAGCAGCAAAACCCACAAAAAGATGGAGTGGAACAAATTTCCAGCTGAAAACAACTTGGAAGGTCAGCAGGAAAGGTCTGTGGCACCAGGATGTGAGAGAAGCACAGTCCAGCACAGACCTGGCTCTGGCAAACCTGGAGCAGGCCGGGGGCAACCGAATCACTAGCAGCAGTGACAGTTTCCAGACTTCTCAGCCCACAGATGCCAAAGAAAACTAAGAAGGGGAGCAGGAAAGGATTTTCACACCTGGGTGAGAGTGGAGTGCAGTCTAGTGCAGGTCACCAGCACAGCCCTCGCCCCAGCAAACCGGGAGCTGGCCTTGGGAGTGACTGAACCAGCAGCAGCAGCAGCAGCAGCACAAGTAGCTGCTTCCAGAGCTCTCAGTCCACAGACAACCCACAGAAAAGAGGGTCAAACAACCGGTCAGAAGGAGATTACAGGGTCTTTTTGCTACCACTGAGGCAGTGCTAGGGAGAGAAACACTAACACATCAGAGCTTGTGGCAGCAGTGGAGGGAGAACCCTCCTCACAGTTCCAGGGCAGAAAAGTCTGCTTGTAGCGGCTCACAGACCAGAGCACAGGCCAGGAGAGTAGAAAACACCTCTTCTTAGATCATACTACCTTGAAGAATCGAAAACTTACAGGTCCCTAGAAGTATCTCTGAAAACAACTGCACAGAACCCCTGAAGCTTGAGACAGTGTGCCCTCCAAACTGGAAGCAGAGCCCTACTTTAAAAAAGTTTTAAAAGTCAAGTAATAGGCTGGGGAAATGAGCAAACAACAGAAAAAAAACTCTGACTATAGAAATTAACTATGGTGACAAGGAAGATCAAAACACACACTCAGAAGACAACAAGGTCAAAGCTCCTACATCCAAAGTCCCCAAGAAAAATATGAATTGGTCTCAGTCCATGGAAGAGTCAAAAAGTATTTTGAAAATCAAGTAAGAAAGGTAGAGGAAAAACTGGGAAGAGAAATGAGAGTGATGCAAGTCATGAGAAAAGAGTCAACAACTTGGTAAAAGAGACACAAAAAAACACTAAAGAAAATAACACCTTAAAAAATAGACTAGGCCAAATGGTAAAAGAGGTTCAAAAAGCCAATGAAAGAAGAATGCCTTAAAAAGCAGAATTGGCCAAATGGAAAAGGAGGTCCAAAAGTTCACTGAAAAAAATAATTCCTTAAAAACTAGAATGGAGCAAATGGAAGCTAATGACTCTTACAAGAAATCAAGAAACAATCAAACAAAACCAAAAGGATGAAAAATTAGAAGACAATGTGAAATATCTTGTTGGAAAAACTACTGACCTGGAAAATAGATCCAGGAGACATAATTCAAAAATTATTGGACTACCTGAAAGCTATGATCAAACCAAAGAGCCTAGACATCATCTTTCAAGGAATTATCAAGGAAAACTGCCTTGATATTCTAGAACCAGAGGGCAAAATAGAAATTGAAAGAATCCACCAATCACCTCCTGAAAGACATCCCAAAAAAGAAAACTGCCAAGAATACAATAGCCAAATTCCAGAGTTCCCAGGTTAAGGAGAAAATATTACAAGCAACCAGAAAGAAACAATTCAGGTATGGTGCAGAAACAGTCAAGATAACACAAGATTTAGCAACTTCAATATTAAAGGATCAGAGGGCTTAGAATATGATATTCTGGAAAGCAAAGGAGCTATGACTACAACCAAGACCACCTACCCAGCAAAACTGAGTATAATCTTTCAGGGGGAAAAATGGAAATTCAATGAGAAAGAGGATTTTCAAGCATTCTTGGTGAAAAGACCAGGGCTGAATAGAAAATTTGACTTTCAAACAAAAAACTCAAGAGAAGCATAAAAAGGTAAACACAAAAGGAAAATCATAAAGTACTTAATGAGGTTAAACTCTACATGGGGAGAAGATATTTGTAACTCCTAAGACCTTTCTCATTATTAGGGTAGTTAGACGGAGTATAAACAAACAGGAGTGAGTTGAATATGAAGGGATGATATCTAAAAAAAATAAAATTAAGAGGTAAAAGAGGAATATACTGGGAAAAAGAGAAAGGGAGAGGTAGAATAGGGTAAGTGGAGGGGAAGAGGGGGGAGGTGAGGGAGAATGAGTGAAACTTACTCTCATCAGAATTGGCTCAAAGAATATGGAATAACACACACAATTGGATATAGAAATTACCCTACAAAAAAGTAGGAGAGGAAGGGGATAAGAAAAGTAGGGTGATAGAGGGGAGGGGGTAGTCAGAAACAAAACACTTTTGGGGAGGAACAGGGTAAAAGGAGGGGGGGGGAGAGAGAGAGAGAGAAAAGAATAAATATGGGGGGGAATAGAATGGAGGGGAACATAGTTGGCAATAGTAACTGTGAAAAAAAATTTTAATCAAGTTTCTCTGATAAAAGCCTCATTTCTCAAATATAGAGAACCTAGTCAAAATAAGAGTCATTCCCTAATTGATAAATGATCAAAAGATGTGTTTTCAGATGAAGCAATCAAAGCTATCTATAGTCATATTAAAAAATATTATAACTCACTATTGATTGGACAAATGCAAACTAAAACAATTCTGAGGTACTACCTCATACCTATTAGACTGGCTAATAGGACAGAAAAGGAAAATCACAGATGGTGAAAACGATATGGGAAAAATGAGACATCAATGCACTGCTGGTGGAGTTACGAACTGATTCAACCACTCTGTAGAGCAATCTGGAACTATGCCCAAAGGGCTATAAAACCACAGATAGATAGATACCCTTTGACCTAGCAATACCACTACTGGGCCTGTAACCCAAAAGACATAAAAAACAAAAAAGGAAAAGTATCTATATGTACAAAAATATTTATAGCAGCTTTTTTCTGTGTTAAGGAATTAGAAATTGAGGGGATGTCCATCAATTGGGGAATGGTTGAACAAGTTATGGTATGTGATTATGATAGAATACTATTGTACTATAAGAAATGATAAGCAGGATGCTCTCAGAAAAACTTGTTCAATACTTGCATGGGCTGATGCAAAGTGAAATGTACTGTGTACAAAGTAATGGCAATATTTTAAGCTTTATTTAAGATTTTAAGCTGATCAGTTGTGAATGACTTAGTTATTCTTAGCAATACAACAATTCAAGAAAACTCTGAAGAACTTGTCATGAAAAATGCTATCCATCCCAGAGAAATAACTCCAAATACAGACTAAAGCATACTTTTTTTTAAACTTTCTCTATTTTCCTTGAGGTTTTTCATCTGTTTTCTTTCACAACATGACTATTATGGACATGTTTTGTATGACTACACATGCATAATGTATATGCAATTATTTGCCTTCTCTATGAGGATGGGGTGAGGAGTGAGGAAGGGAGAGAATTTGGATCTCAAAGTTTTAAAAACGAATGTTAACAATTGTTCTTGGGGCAGTTAGGTGGCGCAGTGGATAGAGCACTGGCCTTGGAGTCTGGAGGACCTGAGTTCAAATCCAGTCTCAGATTAGACACTTAACACTTACTATTCGTGTGACCCTGGGCAAGTCACTTAATCCCAATTTGCCTTGCCAAAAAAAAAAATTGTTCTTACTTGTAACTGGGGAAAAAATAAAAAAGTGAACACATACACACCCAGAAAAAGGAAATAAAGAAAACCCTAACTAATTGGACAGATACTCATTACAGTATGGACATGCCGAGATTTTTAAAGATTAATGG